TTAATATCTGTTTGTGTTTTACCTAGAGCTGGGGGATTTTCAGACAGCGCGTTAGATTCGGCTATGCTTCCGCCATTTCCTATAGATCTGTGAAGAAGTTCCCTCAACTGCGGGTTGTCGGCCTCTGGGGTCATATTCGCAGATACCCTAGAAGGTAGAAAGTCAGATACCACTGTGTCACGGGCTTCCTGGACGGCATTCGCAAAAGCGATGGAACTAACGATGCTACTTTGTCGAGCTATTTTCGGAGCTGGTCCGCCCTTGGCTACAAATTTATCTGATTGCTCCTTGTGAGATTTCTTCTGAAGATGCTTTTGGCTACCGATATGGTCAATCGCGGTTAACTTTTAAGATGGATCCACAGTCACCTCACACGAAGAACAAAACAGTAATTTTTTTTCTCCGCATTATCGAAGTAGTATTCTCCAGAAAACTCCTTCACTCTATCTAGAGCACTCTTTCCTCCTAAATGCTGTTTCCTTTTTTGCGATGACATCTGTGGAAGAAAAAGCCTGTTGATTATTGTGGGCGGCAGATTCTTTTGGTTCTCAAGTAACGCGTTTAAATACCGAGTGAAAACAAAACAAAGCTGAGATTGAGCTACGGTACTATTCAGAAAAAGACGAAAATTCAATAATGACAAACCTCATCAGTAACTGCTCAGTACTGAAACTACAATATCTTCACGAAATACTCAAAGAAGGTACAAATCAGCGTTCTCGCCACTATACAAACAGATCATGACGACTTCACATTGTCGCTTATATTGGGCCGCCGAGCCCAACACAACGACATGGTCACTGTTCAACGCCTAAGAGGCGATAATGCATCAACTTTGTGGGCGGCCGTAATGGGAGGCCTTGTGTGCCGTCAATGTATGTGCAAAAGGTTTGTAGGAACAGATATCAAACATATTTAATGTACATGTGGGCAAAGCGTGTTTGTATAATGGACAATAGTGTAAGTGCACAGCGTGTGTGGACAGATTGGACATGGTTGCGTAATGGATAGATGCTTGGATGACAGTGCGATCGGGATAAAACCGTGGCCGTAGCTGTGGGCAGACAAGTGGATTTCGATAGCATATGGCATGAAATGTCTCAATAACCAGTTAGCTGCCTTGGCATTTCTTCCGTATACAACTAAATTGATTACAGCTGAAACGAATTCAAGTAGCTTTGTTTATGCATTTCTTGCTTTTTCCGCCATTCCGCGGATGTTCCATATTTCGCGGCGATTAATAAATTCCGCGATTTTTTGCGTTTCGCGGAATCGTGAAAAACTTGGATTCCCTCCAACCACTATGTCTCGGACTTGTTTATTGCTTATGCAATGTTGCCACTACACGAGCAACCCTTCACGGACAACGATTGCCAAGAACTGACAATCGTTTCGTCTCCGGAGCGACAAGACCAGGTCTTACAACCCTACAAGAGGACTACACTAACGGAGGCATTGGAAACCCTGCCCTTGAACTTGACAGACATCCTGACAACGCCAAAGGTGTCTCAATTTGATGAATGCAGGTCGAGCCTTTACGATCCGTTGTGAGACCTTATCGCCAACACCGCAGCCAACGATGATGCAACTCCTTTGGTGAGTAAGGCAATGGACTTGTTCCGGAACTCCACCAGCAATGGTGGTGGCAGGCCAAAGCATCTGCCAATTCTGGAGTGAATTATAGACCATACTTAGACGCTTCTATCGGTTCATTGCGCTCTGGACAGATTGTGGATCATCTCCCAGCAAAACTAAGCCATCGGTGTAATCCAGGTCAGCGATTTGGTCGCCAGGGAGAAGCTCAACATCGCGATTTCGGACACCTTACGATACTCTTTGGACATCTTTGATTGCAAAACTGAAAAGGAAAAGTGAAATACAGCAACCTTGGCGAACTCCTCTGGTGACAGCAAACGGAGAGTAGATCCTGCCGTACCTCCTGACTTTGCCCGACGAATGACTTTACTGTTCCTTCAAAACGATTACAAAGTTGTCGGGCACACCTTTCCTTGGTAGACAGTTCCACAACGCAGATCTATCTACTGAATCAAATGCTACTCGCATTTCCAAGAACATTGCGATTGTTGGTCGTCAGTGGACTTAACGGATTTCAAGAAGTTGGCGAAATTTGAAAATGTGGTCAATGTAACCTCAACCTGGACGAAAATCAGATTGTTCCTCTCGGACAAAGCACTATCTAGTCTCTGAGAGTCCGCGAAGTAGGACGGACACGAAGATCTTAATCGTGACAGAAATCAACTAGATTTTTCGATGGCTGGCATCATTTTCGCGAAAGCCTTGTGAATCGGGACAATGACTGATTCTCCCTATGAGTTTGGGATCTTCGTGTCAGTCCAAACCTTTTTGAACAGCGATAGGATTTTGCTAACAACACATTTCTTTCGTCTTTGAAAAGAACTGGGGAAAAGTCATCAGAGCAGACAGCTTTATGACGCTTCAGATACTGATTGCGTTTCGGATCTCTGCTTCGATAAAATAATCTGTGAGGACTGGCCAAACACCATCTGAGGTAAATGGATGTATCACAGAGGACCGCGTTGGGTTGTAGAATTGGAGGGCAAAATGCCCTACCCACCAATCTAAACACCTGTGTAACATGGTGATTTTCCTTTTGTCTAACCCACAGATAGTGTGCGATGAGGTAAAGTAAACTGCGGAAACTTCAGGCCAAAGCGGCAGCTTCCATTTTAACAACTTCTTTTGAGCGACAAGATTCACTGTCAGAGCGATGGGTTCAGCTGTCGTGGGATAGACAGATGGTTTGTTGTGCTTCGCGCCGGTGGGCATAGACCGTCACCAATCTAGGCAGTTCTGAGGACTAATTTTAGATGTTTGTGAGTAGTGTAAAGTTTGTAGAAAGTAGAAGTCACAATTAAAATTCACGCACAAAAATGTGCCTCGACGGTGATTCGAACCCCGGTCCGAGGATGTTGCCGAGATTCAGGTTTTGGCTATGCATTAACCGAGGCCGCAGTTGGACAAACCGGCAGACAGCATTGCTTGTTGCATGCTTGACCAGTGTAGGAGAGTGAGAATTTCACAAAACCCCTGTTGATATTGCGTTTTTACCGTTGGGTCCTCCAACTTGTAGTTGTTTAGTCGGGTTTGTTTGATTCTAGACGAAGCACCGAGGTATATGTAAACTGTCACCCATGCCATTGTATGATCGGTTTCACCGCAGGTTGTGTAAACTGGTCTGCAGTCGCCTACGCTGCCGCGTCACCTACGATCAGTTAGTGACCAGTTTTGGGTTGACGATGGATGACGCCAAGTGCCATGTTGATGGCCATGGTGACGAAAGCTCGTACTGGAGAGGAAAAGTTGGTGGACAACACAAACTGAGCAGCCACTCTCCGTTGTCAGAGCGAACATCATCTTACTATGCGTTCCCCCGAGGTGGCAGCAACCGACCGTCACGTGAATTACAGTCTCCTGCCGTAACACTGATATCTATTTCAGGTTCCCTTTGATGGGTCTCCTGAAGGTTTTGAGACAACTGATCCTTGGCTGTATCCGAGTTGTAATTAGTGTACGCGTAGGCTGAGACCACAAAACTAGCACATTTGTCGGCTCGACGTCTGCTTACCTTGAAAGAGCGACAGAGCCTCGTAGCGCAAAGGCGACTGTCGATTGGAACTCACTCAAGCGAGGCGGCATCGGCTTTAGCGCTGAGAGTGATCCCATTGGCGGACTCTTTCACCAGAAGCGGAGATGCAAGCAAGTGGAGAGTGATCATGGCAGATGTAGGCTGCATTGGAGTCCTGGAGTTGTGTTTCAGTCAGGTAGCAAACATCAACTGTAGGTATCTTCAGCGTACATGCAACTTCAGCTTACCTTCAGTAATGTGTGCACCTTTAAAGTTGTTTGAATTGCGTTTCAGTTTGCAGATGCTAATATAGAAGACCTCGGGGCTGGCAGCTCCCTGTCGAGGAATGTGTGAATGGGCTGACATATGTTAAGGTAGCAAATTCTTTGGTGGATAAGGGTGTTCACCATTAAATAATCATGTAATAATGTGGGTGGATGATACAAAAATAGGATAGATATATTGGTGGCGTGTGTTCGAAAGTTCGTGTATTAACAGGGTACTGGTCCTGGAACACTAACGTCGGGGCATTATCCGGATCGGGAACTTCTAGCCACCCGTTTGGCACCACGGGATGGTTGCTCGTGAAGCCAATCTGATGTACAATGGTTTGAAATTAAGTCAGCGGTACAGTCATCTAGATTGTCGACGAATTTACCTTTTGGTCTTCCAACTCCGACACGCTTTTCCAAACTTAGTTGTTTGTGTCCCCACTTTATCCATCTTCTATAAATGTTTCGACATCACACTCATCTCCCCACACTTTGTTATATGAACGAGTGCTTTGGAGTGTACTCCGGTCATCCAGGTTCGTTGTAATTGTGATGCATGTAAATCTGTGCAGACAGGTGAGCAATTCGATTATTCTTTACGATAATCATTACTCACAATGAGTTGGTATTCCGTTTTGTATAGTGTCATCTCATTCCAACAACCCTGCTGACGCCTCATCGATGGCAACCAATGAAATTTTTGTCAAAGCTTAAGTGATACCACCGTTAGTCTGCAAAGTTTGAATCTACGGAATATATATGCATAAAGCAATTTCTCGACTTGACTCGAGACGGCGCTACTTCGCGTTTTTATCCCATAGACACCACTGCAAGTACGTGAAAAATTAACGACTTGGATCTCGTTTTTATCACCCTAGCATCTTGTGCACAACATGCATAACTCGAAATTACAACGTAAAAGGTTTTCACTCGAAAGCGGAGTTGTTTCGGATCTAATTTTCAAAACATCCTATTTCCGCAAATACATACACTGTATATACAGCAACGCTTCCCAGTATTCAGTTTGTTAAGCCTCCAAGCAGTTGTAGCCGAGATACTGTTTCGCTTCTCATTTGGTCATTGTGCTGTTTCGATATGGTTTCTGTAACGTTCAATTTTAGCCAAATCTCTTCCCGGATTGATACATCTGGCGGAACTGTGCATAGAAGTGCTTCGGCAAAACGAAGAGCACCACTCGGAGGTAAGTTTCTCCATTACGATTGCCCATCGATGTGCTTTTTAATGTGTCTGCTCTCGATATTTACTTCACCCGACCTTTTCTCCGGTGGCATTGAGATAACATAAATGGAACCTTTTTTCTGGATTGGCGTTTGTGATTTCAAATTGCGTGTACGTAATCTTAACGCAATCTGTTCATCAAGTTACCTTACATACTCCTCTGCAGACATTCGATAAGCCATTCGATAGATTGAAATCGCTCGTAGGCAACAAGGCAAGCGTGGAACGAACTCCGATTCTAATCGGTCAATTACGCGCCCACCAACATTCGTGCACTACTTTCTCTTCCGATATCGTCTGATGATGCTTCTGTTACAGTCGCGCTTTCCTTTACTGTACAGGCTGCAATGTGACGGGAGCAGTCCAGTTTTCTCTGTGCTGCCTACTTGTTACTTGGTGTAGTCTAACGGAGTGGTTTACCTCGGTTATTTCGATATATTCTCATTAGGATCGGTTACAGGCTTTTACCGCTCCTATTAACCCGCTGTCACCGTTTCTAAATGAACAACTGATTTTGTAATCCTTATTATATTATGTGGGAATTGGGAGAGCATAAACATCGTTTATCTTCGCCTGAGTGCACTCTTGAATAACATTGATCCATTGCAACGCACCGTGCTTTTCTCTAACTACGCACCCTGATGATTCTTCTCTTCTATCCTGAACTTCCACCTTAATGCCTTGTTTGCCACTGTTGTAATCCTCGTTGTGGCGCTTTGTTTTCACCTCATTTTTCCTCCACCACTATCTAGGCATTTTCTTGGTTCCACGACTTACTCATAGAACACGCGGAGCTGTTCTGGAACTTGTTCTCTACTGATATGACCAGTGTCCTAGAGACTATGCCTCCGGATTGTTGGGACAGCTTTCCTCTTTTCCAGTTGTTAAATGACTATTTACTTTCCGAAGGTACGCCAATATTTTTCGTTTGAGGTTTCTATCTTCTTTGTGCTTGCCACACCGTACTTTTCTATCCCCATTTGCTGGGCCGATTGGTCGCACTTTCCGAATCGCATGCAGTTCCGTTGTGTCCATGCCTTAATGGAACCTACGGGGATATATACGTGCTCATATTCTCGAACTTAGCTAGCACCTCACCACGTAGGAATCGTGCTCCAAATTCACAATCTTGACTTAAACAAGAATCTTGGCGGTTGTGCAACTCATCTTAGCCATTCTACCTTTATCTTCCCCTATGCGCCCACCCGGTATGGTTGGGTTGTTAATTTGTTGGGTATGGACTAATTTATTATGCCTTACGACCACGTCGCTTTAACTGATGGAATATTTGTCTATCTCGGATTCCACCTGCTCCATCAACGAGGCGACTAACCCAAGCGGAAACTGCGGTGTCTTCTTCTTTCACCTGTCTGGACTGCTCGATATATAGTTGACTTGGAGTGAGAGAGAGAGTAGTGGCCGCCCACCTGACTCGTTACACTAACTTTTTTTGTTCTACTCTAGCACATACATTCTTGAGATACCTATGTGTACGCCTACACAGTGCTCTAGTATGGTTTTTAATTAAATGGTTCCTCAATCCAAGTACCGGATTAGGAAATTCAATTATATGTCGCCTTGGCTTTTTTCATCTTCAACCCAAACACTCATTTGCTTATCCACTGGCTCGTTCCTTCCGGCATACAAGCACACCATCATTTGTTACTAGATTCGAAATATTCGTCCCTATTCTATTGTGGCCAATTTGTGCATTTTCTCGAGGATATGCACTACATTCATGACACTGCGCCTCATCAATTCAACAAGTTGATTGACTTCAGTACTCAATCTTCTCTTGGCTTTGGGTCGTTTCATTTTCACAGAATCCTTGAAGTCCGGCAAGTTTCATCAACAGTTGACACAAACTTTTGCACCCTTAGTTGTGCGATACGTGGATTTGATGGAGGCATCGATCACTCAATCTATCGGCGTTCCAGAAAGCCCATCTCCCGGTGACGTTCACGAAACCGGTATGCCTGCTGCTATCGCTGCTCTCAGCAACGCAGACGCGTTCGCCAGTGTCGGGTCTCTCGTTTCTGCCGCCACAGCTGCCACTCGTTCCGGTGGCTTGATTGCCGCAGCCAGTGCTGTGACCGGTCCGAACGCTTCCTTCAATCCCATGCCCGTTACTTCCGCGGAGCTCCTATGGAAGTTAGAGGCGTTGCAAACATTTATTCGAGAATTACACTGGCCCGATCCAGTATTCGCAGAGCATTTGGACAACAGACTAAAACTGATGGCTTCTGATATGATCGACGCCGCAGCTCGGCGGTAAATCTCGATTTTTATGTTCCTATATAGCTATATATACATATATATACATATATATCAATAACATTTTCGTGTTTGTGGCATTTCCCTAAGATATACTTTACGACCTCGTGAATTTATCTCGGATTCGTTTGTAAACAACGTATTTCATATACGCATTAATTTAAGGTTTTATGTCACCGTTTCCTTATGCATAACTCGATTTATTTTATTTGTTATCTTTCTCTCAAGTGCTTGGCTGTTGCTTGATATCCCCCGTGTGCCTGCGCTTGATGTGTACGTTGACAAGGTGTCTACCTCTCTATTACCCACTACCTCCTCCATGCTGACCCTAGAAGACAGTTGGTCGTTGCTGGAGAGGACGCGGTGCACGGTCCTTGCGGCCGTGTTAGGATCAAAGAATGGTCCATGCACTCAGTGTGGAGCGGACTACCGTCCAGGCACCACCTTGTGTGCGCTTGATTCCCCAAATACAGCGTGCATGTGTTTGCCTGTGAAGGAGTGTGGGCCGGCTCCGTTGATGAAACGTGGTTCCCATCCGCATGTCTCCCGGTCTTATTCCTTCGGGTTTACACTGGATATGGGGTATGTGGTTGGAGCTGTGGGTGGTGCAGCGCAAGCCATCCATGGTCCCTCTGTAGGCGCAGGCGTCCTGTGGCTGGCCACAGTGACAGGCAAATCCGAAACCGGATGCCGCCAACCATATATGGTATGGCGGCATCCGTATCCGGATTTGCCTGTCACTGTGGCCTCCATGGGGACAGCCACAGGACGCCTGCGCCTACGAAAGGGACCACGGGTGGCTTGCGCTGCACCACCCACAGTTCCATCCACACACCCCATATCCGGTGTAAACCCGAAGGAATAAGACCGGGAGGCATGTGGATGGGAGCCGCGTTTCATCAACGGAGTCGGCCCACACTCCTTCAACAAGCATAACAGAAGCATTCCGGCCTAATTGGGAAATCGTGCACACCAGACATACACGAGGCGGTGGCTGGACCGTAGCCCGTTCCACACAGGATGGAACCACTCTTTGAGCCTAGCACCGTCACGAGGACGGTGCACTCCGTTCCCTCCAGCGACGACCAACTGTCTGCTGGAGCCAGTATGGACGAGATAGTGGGTATTAGACAGGTAGGCACCTTGTCAACATTAACATCAAGCGCATCCACACCGGGGAGCTCAAATAACATCTACTTCTGAAATGCAAGATTACTCAGCTCGCAGGCACGCGTACCACATACGCTGCCTTATTGGCCTGGATTTGTAAATTGAATGTGAGCGAACGCATCATGCTTCTATTCCGCGTGCAATAGTACCTTCTCCTGAACCTGATCAACCGCCTTTATAATCAGTCTACGGCGTTCGCATCGATTAGATTTGCCTTGGATTCGCAACACCTGAAATCAACATGAGTTTGTCATAAACTCACCTTCTTCTTCATTTTCTGGTATTGTTATTTTCGGTTTGCTCGAATGTCGTTTTCCTGCACTAAGTTAGCCGTACAAATGCGGTATGAGTATCCCCGTCGAATTCACTCTGTATGCATATATACAATGATTGGCGTCATCCGTATCCAATGGCAGTTCGAATACAACATATGCACATGCGTTTATCCAAACTTAAGTGTGAGCTGTCACAAGCTGGATAGAGACACATTAGACATCATGATCAATGGTAGGACAACTGTGTATGGGTTTGGTTTGGAGGTTAGCCTAACGACCACTTTCGAAGGCATAACAAAAGTTCCCGAATACGAGCTGTTTATGTTTTCTTCAACATTTAGTCCTGACCGCCTTAAATCCTGGGCATCCATGTTTGAAGGAACCAACTATAGCAATAGTGACGCAATTACTAGGTAGATTGATCATTGAATTACTGGTGCAGTGAAATAGTATGCACTTAGGTGTTGCCCTCTACATGTACAGTCTGATTTGAGTAGCTGATGGGGGAGATGATCACACAGCATGCGAATGCGATGCATTGTCCACTTCTGGCTCTCTGTGTCTCCGACCGGTTCGGTCATCTGCTGCCTGAGGTATGTGCACCTACTCAAAGAACGATTGATGCGCACCCTTTGGTATTGACAGGTGACATCAACTAAGTCCCGTTGCCCACTGTCAAACATGCGACTTTCCAAACAGTGTTCGCAATTTTTGTGTAAATGTCCAACTACTCAACCGTTTGTACCTACCGACGTGTACTCTACTGTGGCCATAAGCTATTTGCTAACGATCTATATCATACGTCTCGGGTGCAGCCATTTGGTGCTCATAAAATGATTGTCGCTATGCCTCGATTCCTTTCCGATGTAATATACTAACACACTGACGTACCATTCCCGTTAGGTTCAACCTTTTACTTAGTCCATCCAAAAGATTGTCCATGTGCAATGCAACTTCTGGTAGGCGTCTCTGCGCGTCTGCCTTCCATCCTCTTAGTACATGTGTTTTCATAAGCCCCGGTAAATTCAGTATGGCTGAGGGACAACTGGAACTATAACTATGCTCACTCTCATCACTAGCCTGCGGAGTGGAACATGAAATGGAGACATCGTGATCATCGCTAGTCGGTTAATTGTCGGATTGTTCACTTGCCACAGAATTTCCATGGAAATTTCTCTTCTGCGATGCACCGGCGCTCTAAGCGTCATGCTAGTTAGCATTGAGCAGCTGGTCAAGCTACGGTTATGTAATCTACAAATCGATTTCAAAAAGCAGAATGTAGATAGCATAGTCTGGTGAGTAATACCATGGAGCTTACATAGTGACGTGAATCGCGGCCGAATAATAATACGAAGAGTAAGATGCCGTAGCTCACCGTCTCGGTATGTCACCATACTAGACTCCGCTTGAGAAGATAGCAAGAATAGCATAGCATAGATCATGATGAATACAACATTGCAATGGGCAACATGTGAAGTTGTCGCGAAATACAACCGAGTTAAATAAGAAAAATAAAGTTAGATTAGATGTGGCTCATTCGTTCTAGGCATGTGCAACAAAGATATCACATTGCACCAAATCAGTAGTTAATGGTTCTAGAATGAAACTGTACCCAAGCGTGACTTACATGTGGGATATAGAATATGGATGACACAAAGAGAATGACGGAGATGGAGTAAGTAACTTTCAAGTTAGCAGGAAAATGGTGCGATTATGTCCACTGCAGCCTATCCGTGTCATAAGGTAAAACCAGAGCCCGTTATAATCGTCTCTTGTCCGAGGTGAGCGAGAATCAACAGGGATGTGGAACCATCAGGCAGTCTGTCATGTGTTACTATTTATTTCCCCCTGGTCATTCGTTCTGACCGCTAGCATATGTCGACCCATTCATCAGTGTCCAGAATGCTACCTGTACCCAAGCTTTTCGACTTGGATCTCACAACGTGTTACCGCTGTTCCGGAATCCACCTTGATGACTTTCTGAATCTCAGTGCGTTTACCTGAAGGCGGCAGCAGTACAAGGGGGCGTATAGAGACACTTGAGATGGGATACACTGACCTCATATTGCAACCCGCAATAAGTCACGGTGTCACACGAGAAGAAATGTAATAAGATCCATCTGTCAAGTGGGAATGTATCGAGATACGAACAGATGTTAGCGGGACTTGTAATTTAGTCGAGTCCCATTTAGACATCGAGCCAGCAGATAATGGTGTCGCGCGAGTGAAAATGCTATCAGTCTGTCAGGTTGAAGTGTGGCGCTTACAAGTGTTTCTAAATGGCTTCCACTTAGTCATTCAACATGAGATATCAGTTGACATACCAAAGGTCCCTGGTTCGAGTTGCAGTACTGCAGTGTTGCGAACGGGCATTTGTTCACACTTGTGTATGGACTACCACAAACTAGATGGAGAAACAATAACCCTCATGAGCAATAACACTACGAACGTGCGCGAGTATGGATTGAATGTAAGAATAACAGCCATATTCCACTAGTGTTGGAAGATCTCACGTATAATTATCTAAGCAACCAATACGACTGTCGTTGGTTAGTTAACATTGAAGCGTTAACCTAAAAGTGGCAGCTATAAATTTAGTCAGAAGTGTGAGCATCAACAACAGCTAGAGACAGATATAGGAATAGGGAAACAAATGCCATCAATACGGTTACCAGGTGGAAAATGATACACAAATAAGTGGTACAATACAAACAGTGATGTCTTATCGTTAGTGTGTGTGCTGCAGATGCCGTCTGCTATATGCGTTAGAAGGCGGTAATATCGCAGATTATCTGCTAACCGCAATGACGTGATCACAGAAATAGAATATATATAGCAAATCCAACTGCGTCCTGTCCAACATTCGGCGTTCGAAAAAGTGCTCAAAACTTTTAGCCAATTTACAAGAAGTAGCCTGCATAACATCCAATTACCCAATCGTTGGCAGATGTGGCTGTATACTCAACTGTGGCGAGAAGCTATTTATGTAGACGACAGACTTATTGTGAGTCGCGAGTAACAGGTAAAATCGTCCTGGTCCAACCATGACGTTAACTAAAGTAAAATTAAACAAAATACAACTCAAGTGCAATATGTGCATACCTCAGTCCTAGTAGAACCGAGGCAAATCACACGGACGAGCCAACGTGTGAGTGCTTGCAACGAAAATTGTTGGACCTTGAACACCGAATTTCCAAACTGCATTCCAAATCGAGGAAGCGTTGTAGAGTCATTGGACTCCAGGTATAATTGTTGATCACTACACCCAATTTGTTCAACCGAATGCACGAACGAATGTGGAATATTGTAAGCAGCAAGCGCTTGGTAGCCAGGAGTGAACGCAGCCCATATATATATATATAAATATATATATATATATATATATATATATATATATATATATACGTACGGCGTACAGCGACTACCTAAGCAGGGCACTTACTGCACTTTAATTCGTCTAGAATCTCGTCATTCCGTCAATTTTCTTTATGCATGCATTACCAAGTAGGTGTAAACTTCGCAGCACCGCTTCAATGCGCGCTTTAGTTACAC